CCTTTCCTCTTGATACATCTACTTTAATGTAGCTAGGGTCCCTGGTGACTGAGTGTCTTGTAATGGTAGCCACTGATATGTTTCTGGTTTCACTTTATCTTTGGAACCATTGTGCTGATACCTGCTGTTGATGACCGTGCTGTTGTCTCCAGTTATGAGGTCTCTGTGCTCTGTCATCCATATCTAACCCTAGTAGCCAATCCAGCAGCCCATTCAACAAGCTGTACCCTTTTGGATACATGGTAGCTTTTAGATGCTTTCTCAGAAACCATCTGGGGAGTCAAGATCCAATGTGGATGCTCTTAGTCTCGGCAGCCTCCCAGTCATTGTTACTCAACCACGCTGGCACCATATTAGATATAGGACCATGTCAAAAAGAAGAATTATCTTAGACCTTCCTGACTCTCCACACTACACAAGAATCAGGGTGCCACGCCCAATATTCTTTGATTCTTAGATTTGTTTGGATTTTTCTACTCTACCTACCTCTTTCAGCAAAGTTTGACCCCTTAAAAGAGAACATAGACACTTCCATATCATCTCTCACTTTCTCACTCCTTTTCTCTCTCTTTATCCAACCCAGAAAAAAATCATATTATATTTCAATATCCTAGATAGAGCTTTTTCTTGCCTTCCAGGGGCAATAAACTTCAGCCCTATGGTTTACTCTCAATGACCAAGAGTCTACTAGGGGAGAGGGGTAACAACTTCCAAGAAGGAAAAAATTGGATTGCAAGCATTTAAAATATCCTCCACTTCACCTGGAATTCTCTGTAGATTCCTCCCTCTCCTAATTCTCCATGTCCTATTCATTCTATCTTTTACATGCTTTTGATACATTCTTTTACCATGGTTGCTACTGTCTCAATAGTGAATAAGAGTGAATTTTTGAAGTCAAATTACCTACATTTAACACTTGGTTCTGCTACTCGCTAGCTATATGAACTGAATTAAGTTACTTAGCTTTCTGTGCTTCAATTTCTTCACCTATAAATACTGATAATAATAGTCCTACCTTTGCAAGCGAGATAATCATGTAAAATACTTTGAACAATGTCTAGAATATAGCAAGTGCTCAATTAATGTTAACTGTTAATATTCAGACTCTTATCACTTTTCCCCTAGACTAGTAATTTCTAATTGAATTCATTGTCCCCATTCCAACCCCAAAGTGTTCACTTCTGGTAACCCTTGCTAATAACACTAGATAACACAAATTTAGTGCCTTTGTAGATAAAAGGATGGCATATAATTTTAATTCACATTTTTATCATTAGTGAGAATTAATAATATGGTTTATTAATAGATTATCTTGGGGGTACTTGTCAGATGAGAATCAGAAAAAAAGTAGCAAATATTTAACTTTTAAGTTCAAGAGTCTAGGCTCAGTTATTAAATATAGTCAGCCAGAATGTAAAGATCTCATGAGCTGATGGGGGAAGAGACTTCAGACATTGGGTTTTTTTGCTGCCCTATCTTATAGGCTGAGCTGGATATAAGAAGTAGAGACATATTATGTCCCTCCTTTAAGTTCAGACATTTGAGAATTGGAGGCATATTGTGCATCATCCTCTAAGTGAGGTCCAGAGAGATGATAAACATTGTTAGAGTGGTTCTCAATGATGTTGTATCTATAAAGTAGAAATAGTGAAACAACACAAGAGGGCTTCAAGTAAAAGTTTCATAAAAATTGAAAAGTTATATTTTTTCACATCGGAGTTAATGACTGTAAAAAATCGTACCGCTACATGTGTATTTTCATTTTTCCCACCATGTATGCACCTGTCTTATTCACTTATTAGTCATGAGTCTCCCTGAGTTTCAACTTTCTCATTTTAAAAACGGAGATCATAAAATCTATATGATGTGCTTTTCTCCTGTAAGTAGATACTCATGAGTCTTGTCCAAGATCGTATGAGTGGTTTATCCTTTGCCAAACTGAACAGGATATATAAAGGCCAAACACACTAACCAGGTAATAATACCAGTTAAAGCTGTGTCAACATATATATGGCCAAATTCCAGTTCCTGTCACCAATTCTGCCCTGAAATGACACTGATTTCTTTCCGGGACCAGGAAATCTTTGGTCAAACATCTGGTTAAGCTGGATAGGACTCACTTTTTTATAAACTATACATCTCTGTTGGCACTGTTGGCACTATACTAGTGCTCTGTTGGCACTGCAGTTGCAGAGCTAGTTCTCCCGTGAGGGGCTCACTCGGAGCAGTTTGTTTCAGTCATAGGAACGCACCCTGGCCTATAGGGAGATGCAAATCCCATCAGTCCTATGCAACTTCCTTGGAATTCTGTCTGACTTTGGAGCTATACGGAACTTAAATTCACTGTAAGATACAGGTCCTGATAGATTCTAGACTTTGGGACAATTTTACTGGCTGACAAGCAGATCTACATGTAGGGAGGACTACCTTCATCTGTTCTTCTTTGATATCATTTATAGATATACAGTTTATATATTTATAATTTATATCCCAAGGCACCTGGCCTGTTTCAGCATCCACAATGACCTGGGTTCCTGAACAGAATTCTTTACCTAAGGTGCAGGCAGCCATATAATTCACTGCATTATTTGAGTTGCCTGAGAAGTATGCAGCTTTTCAGGAAGATATTCTTGGAACTTAAAGACAGGCTGTTGGCTCAATAACTGCCTGATTGTTTCCATTTAACAATTTAGACTTTCTCCCACAGTCACCTCAGTGTGCTCAGTAAATTGGTGTTTTATGCTTGATTTTCACTTTCAGAATTCTATCTCGGCACTATCAGGATTTGATGACATCATGTAGGGAGACTTTCTTGTATTGACATGTTTTGCTTTGGGCTGGTTGAGAGGTAATGCCAAAATTCTGAGTTCCATGGGAATAGAGCCAAGAGACATTTGGCTTCTTAGTCAGAGTTAGTGTCCGTGGGAGCGGATCTGGGAAAATCTTGTGGAGGATCTATGGCCAAAACCGCATAATCAAATTTTGTTCTGAATAGGATCCTTCATAAGACATTAGGGAAAAAAACAACATAACACTTGTAGGAAAAATTTTTTAAATAGTGTAACCTTGAATGGTTAGGAAAACAAATTAAAGGGGTGAATTAATGGGTTAATCATTTTTACATTTTTGGTTTAAAGTTACATTTAAGATTAATTAAATAACTATTAGCCCTTCTCAAGAGAAATTTCCAACAGATCTCCTTAGGATCAGAATCTGGGAATAGTTTTAAATTTCTATAAATTAATTCTGGTAAATATGTTTTACCTACAGTGTATGTATATAAATATATAATAAAAGTAAATTTTACTAAAATGAATTTTTAGGAAGATATATGTTTGTGTTTATTTAAAACATCACCTTTATCATGAAGCAGAAATAATAATATTATACTGTTAAAAACTTTTCTTTCTTACAGTAATCCAAAATTGGAATCAATGAAAACTAAGCATGTGTGTCTTTGCTTCATTGCCAAGCTATATATTTCTGTACCAGGAATATTTAGTGTAATGTTAAAATTGACATGAGATATTCAACTTTTATAAATTATCTTATTAGAGAGTTGTCTATCATAATACATATATTTTATTCCTGTCAGATAAATTGGGCAGCCTCATACGTAAAATCTTACATTCAAGAACATCCTGTGTTCTTGACAGGATGTGGTACTTTTTGAAGTATTTTGATATGTAACCTAGTAGAATATATTTAAATATTTCCTTGAGCTAATGTTTTCAATGACAACAAAGATAATCTTGCTATAAACTGTGCATGTTATCTAATGTAAATATGCTCATTTTCCAAAGACATCCTCCGCAAAATGCCATCTAGACATGAATGAACTAAATTTAGTACCATTTTTGCATTGCTTGACATCTTACTCAGGGGTGACCAAAATAGTATAGTTTGCTTTGATATGTTTTGCAGTGTGTAAACTGGAACTGAATGACCATGCAAATGAAATTTCAACACTGTATGTCACATGCCAGGCAAGCCATGACTTGCATATCATTGCCTATAGTTTAATTTCCTAGTTACATTACTGGTAGTATTCATATGTTTTATTTCAAAAAGTGATCATTTAATGTTTTAAATGGATTTTTATCATATTATAGTTTTAATATGTGCTATTAGAATGAATGATAAAAACAAGTATAATATATTTGAATTAAAATTTCTATTTCTTATAAAATGAATAATATAATGATTAAAATTACATATATATTATAAATTATTTAGGAATCATAACATCATAGAATTTTAATGACCTCCCCCACTAAACTTAGTCACTGCTTTATAGCTAAGTTAATAAACTGATAGGGGTGGAGAGGAGGGATCACTTCAAAAATACTTATGTATGGTATTGCACTTTAGGATTTCTAGGTACTTTATAATTATTTTGCAATTCAATTTGAAAATTGGTGCCCCCAAAGCTCAAATAAATGTACCAGTATCATTATGTGTTAGGAAAAAACATAGCTTCCTTGTATCCCCGAGGCTCAGTAGAACTTGTAACTCTAGGACCATACACCCTTGCCAATTGCAATGCATTTGGAAATTGAACCTATGAAAACATATAAATAGTTTTCAGGTCAAGATAAAGAGAAATGAAACAGATATAACTAGCACTTGCTTTCATATGTGTAACACAACTTGGCCAGGACTAATTTAATAAGAATTTCACTCATGAGAACTAGAGTAGTAGACCTAAAATTCCTAAAACCAAACTTTTATACTAAACCATTAGACTTTTATAATAAAGTAAAAATCAGAAATCCAGAATTAATCATTATAATAAAAACTGTGTATCTTTCAAAAAATGTGAAAACACTTTAATATAATTTATTATATAATTTATTTCTACACATTAGATGTAAGAAATAATTTCATTTAGTCATAAGTACAATAATTTGATTAACAAAATCCCAATTTACAAAATAGAAGTGAATAATTGCAGAAATATATTCATTATCAAATTATAAAATAAAAGTAACAGTTCTTGCTGAGATAGCATCAGTTTATTATTCTTCACTTCAGATAATGGAGTTAATTATTTTGGTATTCTTAGTAATATTTATAAGTATTAAAATAATGGAACGTTGAGATTTGAATACAATGACAGTAAACCATTGAAATTTCACATTCACATTATACAGCCATCATAAATCCATAAGTGAATGTTAGTAATGTAAAAAAATATAAAATGATTGTAATATAACCATCTAACCATTAACATATGGAGTTTTAAGACCACTATTTAATTTTCTAATTTGCTCTGAAATATAAGCAGTTGCTTTTCTGTGATACATAACATGTCTTTGTGCCTTAATACTTAATTTGAAATGTCCTTAGTGTAAAAATATACCAAAGTAAATAAAAAAGGAGACACTTATTTACAAAACAATATTGTATACATATTATATAATATAAATGCAATTGTTTCAAAGTCTTTTTATACAATATTGATAGAATCAGTCATTTCCATTATTTTATCATAAAAACCGCTGTGTTTCAAAGGCAGTGTTATAATTTTGCAAAGAAAAAATAACATACTTCTTCAAATATTTAACTTCAAGTATGTAATTTTGCAATTTTAATAAAAATGTTGGCTGCCTTTTAAGATAATGCAGTTTCTCCAAGTATGCTACAGAATTGAAAGCTGGCCTCTTGGAAAATGATTCTTCTTTCATTAAAGAAAATTCATTCCCCATTTGGAAGTGTATGAAATTATACCTGAAGCAAGGAGAAACTTAGTATTTTACTGAATGTTTTTTATTTGATAAACCTAATAACATCATTCATTCCACCTATTATTGTATTAGCACCATTGGCATGGATTTTTAATATACTATACCAATTATAATAGGAATGGAAACTTGCATATCGTGTACCATTCCTATTTTTTGGAATTTTATCTTACCAAGTATGCCATCATACAATATAAATTCAAGTGTTTAAGGATGATTCAAACAATGGTGTATAACAATCCTGCATTTTACCAATACTATATATAGATTTTTCTGTAAATATTAAATGAACCTGTAAAGAAATAGACTTTAAAGCATACTCCTTTAATTCATCAGAACACAAGGAGAATTGCTTTCATTCCCTTGCCTGTGTTGTAGTATATATGAACATAAATGTAATTTGATCTCCTTCTAGTTCAAAAACTCTGGAAATCATAAAATTTTTATTGTATGATTTATTTTGATGGTTAAATGCCAACCATTGCATATAGTCTCTCTTTTAGTTCATATACTGTAGCTTATGCTTTAGTGACTGTAGCATATCTAGATCTGTAGTACGTGGTACATAATTTCACAGTTTCAAAATCATTGAGGGGAAGACCTTCCATGTTTTAGGAAGTTATGAACATACTATAAATCTCATGAGCACCCACAGCGGTCTACTACCATGGCTGGAATTTTCCCATATATTATTTGTTCTTTGCCATTAAAATATAGCATATTAATCGGTGACATCTTTGTGGGAGTACAGCAAGGGCCTGCTGAACCTCTGGGGTTTGCTTGATGTACAAGATGAGTATGAGGATATTTTTGTAAAAATACAAATTCACACTCTCCAGAGCAATAATTGGCCTTATATCTTTTAGGTGCAATAATCCAATCCCACCCAAAAGCTTCAAAATCCACAGTTAAAGGGTAACGGCAGCATCGCGATTCTGTTGAGTGCTCATCACAGTCAAGACCAAAATCTCTTCTAGATCTTTTTGGTGTGTCTGTTACCTTGACCTCTAAAAAGGGATTCTGTGTGAAAAGAAAAGAATAAGCAATAATATTAATGTAGACTTTGAAACACTTTCCTACCTACCTTAAGAAGTCATTATCAAAGAAAGAATCTAATCATTTTGCTTATACCACATTTATTTGTGAAAGGCATAGCATTAGAGAATTTTAATTTACACTAGGCTTGATTTTCCTCTTATGGCTCAAAAGAATATAACAGCAATACAAACTCCCCTGAGATAAGTCCTAAGTCTTTTTGATTTTTGTTTTTACAAGTTTGAGTATCAGACTGCCTGACACATGATAGATGTCTTAAAAATACTTATGGAAACAAAGGTAGGGAAGAAGGAACAGAGAAAGGGAGGGGAGGAAGACAAAGTGGGAAAGGGAGGAAAGAGGTGAGCTTCCTTCATGTTTCATGATTAAATATGTTGGCTAAATATGTCTGATGACTCCTGGAGGGACAGGTATATTCATCCATCCTCTATTCCCTAAGTCTTTGCTTGGAGAAACTTGGGTATTAAAACCAGAGCAAAATAGCTACCTCCCAGCACTATATAGATTGTAATAGGAAAAAGGAAGGTAGGCTGATGTAGGAGGTGGTATGCATATTGAGTTGGAAAGAGAACGCCTAAATAAGGGAAGGACAGATTCAGAAGAAGAGACAATGATATTTTCTTTATTCTTTCACTGAAAAATATTTCTATTTATATATTTAAATAATAATTTGTTAGTCCAGTCCCTGCCCCAATGTTTTAATGTATTTGAGACTTTGTTTTCTTTTATATGGAAAAATCTGAGGAATACATCATATTAACCACTTTTTTAATAGTACTTAAAACCTTTCACATTATCGATTTTAATAATTAAGATGCCACCTATAAAAAGGAACACTTTCGTAAATAATTGATAGTGATTTTTATCCTATATCAAAATGTAAATAAACCTGGTAATTATTGTTATTTAAGATTGTCAAAAAGAATAATTTTATTTTGGGAGTCATCAAAATTTAATGTAGCATATTTAAAGAAAAAAGATCATTTGTAAAATTGTATAGTCTTTTAAAGAATATGTTTGTATTTAAAGTATATCTGATTTGCTAATTATATAATCTTTATAAGTAAGATCCTTTAAAAATGTTTAAAATAACTTATGTTTGTTGTTTGCAAGTATAATCTTCTGTTGTAAATTGTGTTAATAGACGGAAATAAAAAGATATGCTCACATTAGATAAGTTTTTGAAAACAGAAGTAAATACAAGCCTAGGTAAGCCAGAAGAGTAACCCTAAACTTATACTAGACTTTAAAATGGTTTTTATTAATTTTTATAATATATGGGATATTATATTTTACTTGGCCTGATATTAGTTGGCATTCCCTAAGTAAACTCTTGCACAAGAATGCTAAGAAATAAGCTAGGTGGCAAAGGTTAACTAGCCTGTAAATTAAATTTTTATTAGAGATATTCCACAAAATGATCTATTTGTCTATATATATGTATATCAGTACATCAACATCCTGCAAGTAATGAACATATTTAGCATGAAGGACTTTAAATACATTTAATAACATATAAGCCTATACATATCACATTTAGTTAATTGCTACAAATAAAAAGATTTTATTTTAATTATAATTTTTGAGTTTGCTTTATCTGCTTTATACTAAGCCAAAAATTTTTAACACATATGACACCCTTCTGGGAGAAAAAATGATTTGATTTGTTGGTTATATACTAGCATACACTATATGGAGTTCATATTTTTATTCATATAATCATATATCCTATCAATGAAAACACTTTCTATTTTATTCCCAATTCAAAAGAATTCCTTAAGAAGTTAATATCTATGGTGTAATTGTTTTTTTAAATCTTTATGCAAAGTAATAATATCAAGGCAGAGTTTCATAGGATATGAAATTATACATCTACTTTTATTGGGTACAAGGCTCCCATTGGGGTAAGATACCTTGGCTTATGATCACAGGAAACTGATAGTTATTTTTCACTATTGTCCATTCATATTATGAATAAAAACATAAGATTGTTAGAATGTTATTTTCAGTTATCACTTACCAGCCCATCTTCTCCTGGTCCTGGGTAGGTTACAGCAAGATCATGACCATTCTCATCTAAAGCTTTGATTTCAATGCCTAAGTTGGATTCAGGTTGTTTGAGCCAATTTTGCAACACTGTCTTCACATCAATGCTCTGCCAAATACCAGTGCCTGGGTTCATGTCAAGTTTCAGAGATCGGATTCCAGTATACCTTGTACCGTCTTTCATGGGTTTGATGAGTCTCAGGATTTGTACAAACACTGTTGTAGGAGTCTTGACGGGTCTCAGATATATCCACAGTTGGGCCTTTACTACTTTGTTGTATTGTACTTTAGAGCTAAATTTAAAGAAGCAACATTTGGGTTTTCCATCCACTTGCATTAGCAAATCAGCTATAAATGAATAAGAAAAGAGAAGAGTTGCTGAAACTATTTCTCATTAAGAAAATGAACAACCCCCCCCCACATTAATAGTTGAGCATTTTTCTATTGGGATAATATATGCATATGCAGTCTTTTAAAATGAAATACTATGTAGAACTTCATAGCTCAGAAAAAATATCAGAGAAAATAATTATCCTAGCTTTTCAGAATTTTTTTAGATATATATTTTTTCAGCTGTTGATGAGGAATCTATTCCTCTTCCAAAGAACTATGGACAAAGGAAAATTCTAGATAGGAATGAACAGTGAATGAAATTTTAAAATGATGATGATTAAAGAGAACAAGAAACACTGTGGAGGAACAACCACTTAGAATTCTTTGGGAATCTGAGTAGTTACACTTACTGAGCAGCTGTACCAATCAGTCTGGAAGAAGGAACCCTTCCCCCAGGCCTGAATTACCTGGGGACAAGACGCACTGAGCAAGTCACTGAGCCTCGGGAATTAGTAGAAAATATTGTACATCTGTTACGTTTTGGCAGTGGGCTAGCCTTTTAAAGGAGCAAAACTAAGCAGGTAATTAGCACAAAAAATTGGATATTCTATTCATACTGTCTCAAAAATTAGGAAGTATTGTCTTTAGGGCCAGTCTGTCAGTATAAGCACAAGCACTAACAATTTATTTTCTTTTGGTTTCCCAAAATTGTCTATAAAAAGATAAATCGACTCCAGGACTATTTGATAGCAGTGTCTTAAATGAAAATTATTTGTTGCATTGTAACTTAATTATCTAATAAGGGAAATAATATTTTGAAATGGTTTTGAGTCCTCTTTAGAGTGTACAAAGTACTATGTTAAAGCAAGATAACAGATATGGCACAGAAGCTTCCTTGTCATGCCTTCTCTGTCAAGGTGCCTGTCTCCCTTTCCTGGAGAAACTATTCTTTTGAGCTGACTGCAAAAGGAATTGTATGAAACATATTATCTTTCAAAAGCAATGTTGATGCCACAGGCAGTAGACCTTCATATTATAAAGAATAAAATATTTTAGAAGGTTATTAAGCAATGTATCTGCTTAGAAATATGCAAACCGAGTACTCTTAACAATAGTACCATAGTTAAGGTACAAGTAGGACCTCATGAGCTATACTCCACCCAATTGAGATGTTTATTTCTTAGGCATTTTCTGATACTTGGCTCATGATTATCATTATGCTATGTTTACTTCATTATTGCTCTTACTAATACATTAAAATTTTTTTCATACTCTTCAGTGTAACAGCTTTCAAAATTAAGTATTTTAATTTGTGAGTGATAGTTTTGAATTACAGAAATCACTCTTACTGTAGGTGTTCAGCAGTGCTCAAATAACCTTAAACATCTAGCAAGTTTCTTCCTCTATTATTACTGAGAAACATTATTAATACATATTTTAGACAACCAAATGCAATTACAAAATTCTATGTAAGTGTTAGCATTGCTTATAGTGTCTCACAGTCCTTGCCTCAGCAATATTAGGCTGTGAAAGCATAAGCATGCTATATTTGCCATATTAAACTAAGTAACAGCAGTGCTATGCAAGCATTTTATTTTTTAGTTTATTAGCTCTATAAGGAAACAATGCAGCAGATTTTAGTCTCATTAATATATTTCTCATGGTATCTTGAAAAAAAGAAACTCTTTTCCCTTCTACTTACATGCAAGCCAACAGCTTGTTAAAAAGAGCCTGAAAATAGATCTGTTTCTCATAATCACTGGAACAACAGTCAGCAAAACTGTTGATATACACTAATAGGGATACTTACATTCTGTAGGCATAGTAATGATTGTTTCTGTCGTAGCATGATAATCATCATCTTCCAAAGAGCCATCACTGCTGTCATCCCTCTGGACATCGTACTGATCAATCAGTTCCCGGAGTGGAGGAGCTTTGGGTAAAAGTTGTCTTATAGCATCTTTGCTGATGTTAGGAGCTGTTTCCAGGCGAAGTTTACTGAGGATTTGAATTTTTATGGCTTCTATTCTTGAAGATTTAGTGTTCTGTCTCCAGGTACATGCATTACACAGCCCCTCTTTTTCCACATTTTCTTTTTGCTCACTGTTCTCATTTAGATCCACTGGACCAGCAACAATCAGCATAAACAGGTAAATATAAACATAGATTTGCAATTTTTGCATGATTTAAAAATTCAGTACAATCTTTTTCCTTGTTCTTATTTCTTCCTTTTGCTTTTCTTTTGCTTTTGAGTAATGCCACGCAAAATTTTAATGCATGTACAGTCTGAGAGACAACTTGCCACAGCAGTGAATCTTTTATACTGTATTCCAAGTGGCTTTTTATATTCCAACTTAGATGAGACAAGTGTCGTCAGGATCTATGATTGGCTCTTGCTCCACAATGAATCTCGCTGTCAGAGGTTAAAACCCTGTCTGTCACAAGTCACCAAACAGTATTTTGTTACAGTCAAGGGTGAGCTGATTCATTTGACTACTTCATAAAAGAAATAAATCTACAAATAATAAAAGATATTTGTGACATTTGAAAATTAAAGTCTATGTTAACAATATAAACTGTACTTAAATTTTATTAATCTTTATAAAACTCTTGCTATAATTTAAGTAGGTTTTAATTCATACTTCATACTTAAAATATGAAATACTACTTCTTCAAAAGTTAAAATGATTTTGTGTTGGTTGGGCAAGCATTTGAAGTAAAAAGATTTTTATTTGTTGTATTAAATTATTTTTAGTGTCAAGAAATTAGAAAAATAAAAATTAGGAAGGCCTAAATTAAAATTTAAGCTTGTAATACTTGTAAAAGATTTTCATCAATAATTAAAACAACTTGTTTTCCTGACAAAATTGTTAGCACATGTTGAAAATAATTTTTATCATAATGTTATATTGTGTGTGGAATTATTTTTAAACAGTTTAATGTCCTTTATTAATATGAAAATTATGCTCAATTTTTGACTGGTATTATGCTATTTCCTATTTTAAAGGTGCAGATTAGTATCATTCAGAAGATGGATTTCTTTATTGTTTGTTACCAAGAGGACAATGTCAGCTAGTAAAAAAAATCTCTGAACTTAGAATAAAAATGTAATGGATTTTATGACTGGCACTGCAGCACTTGTTATAGTTTGCCTCAGATTTTCTGTGGTAAAAGTAAAATGTATAGTATCTATCCTCTATTAATTATATCAAAATATTTTGAGCACATAAAAAAGAAAGAGCAGCATTATAGAGGGGTACCCTTTTGTTGTTTCCTAATACAGTAATATGTTTGCACCCCTTTGCCAGTTTTTCATTTTGACCAGAGGGCAGACACCTGGCAGGGATTTGGGGTAAGGTCTGGGAGCAGAGAATGGAGCTTTTTGTTCTCTAAATTTAAGTGGCCTCTGTAGGGATCAAACTCTCAACCTTAGCTTTGGGAGCCACAAGATCTAATCAAATGAACTATTAAAGAGCTAAACAAATATAGCTAGCAAGAAACAGAAGATATTTCCAGGCCAAAGGAGATTTCCTCCTCCTACTCCTTTTTGGGAAGCTAAGGACTCCTAGGAGATTTAATCCATTACTTTTTTTTTCAAGAGAATGCAGTAGCTTATATCAAATATTTATTTTTTAAGTCACTACCATTTTTGCACACTGTACACTAATTTACTGCCTCGGTGAACTAAAATGCAGCTCAGTAGCCTGAAAAGTGAATGCATTTTCATCAAATTCTTAAGAGGTATCTACATCTCTTGAGAATAAATGGCCTTACATAATGCATTGGATTTGCCCATCATTAAAGATTAAGGAAAACCAGACACAAACCAGATGCCCTGAGGATTTCAGATACTCTTTGTTATGGGACAATATTCGATCAGGCTTATAAAGTTTTATTTGTTTGGTAAATTCATTTTCAATGTATCAATCTTTGAACTGTTATAATCATTGTAACATATGCTTCTATACACATCTGAGTATGTCAAACTTTTTTTTTTAATATGCTTACAATTGCATAGCAGTTGAGAACTCAAGCTCTGGAGTCAGATAGACTCGAGTTCAAATCTCAACTTGGCCACTTCTAACTATGTGATAATGGATGAAATGCTTAAGTTCTCTAATCTTTGATTTCCTCATAGGGTTTTGGGGGGATATAATTTAATAATGCATGTAAATTGCTGAATATATACCTGTCATATAGTAAGTAATTGATAACTAGCACTTGAGTGCTTGCTCTTTGTTTTATGTAGAGGGGTTTGAGAGTATGCTTAAAATTATCCTCTACATGAACTAGAACTGCTTCAGGTTGTAGCTGCTAATTATCAATTCACAGAGGCTACCTCTCTAGGCCTCTGAGGCAAGTAAAATTTTCTAAGGCAGCCCTGTTACAAGACAAATTCCAGCTCTTTATTATTATTGCCTGGAATAAAGTAAACAAAGGTTGTCATTGCCACATACAGACAACAACAAAAAGCACAAAAGTGTGAAAATGTGGCCCTAAATAGACTGCAAATTGGGAATATGTGTGTCAGAAGCCTCAATTCACCTGACATGTGCAGAGCAGTGAAAAAGTTGAGGCTTCTAACACACAGGTTCCCAGCCCTCTACCTTATTCTTTAAGGTCTCAGACTATAACATGGGCCCTTTTCGCAGTCAATTTTGCAACATGCCAGGAGTACTGATTTTTGTAAATATGTTTTAGCAAGTAGACAAATATGCAAATACAGAACTCATGAGAATTGTCTGTATGTGAAATGAAAACCTTTGTTTACTTTATTCCAGGTAATGAAATAAGGAGCTGGAACATGTCTTGTTGGACATGTTGTCGATTTTGCTTGTAAAAATGGCCCCCAAGCATAGTGCTGAAGTGCTGTGCTAACCACAAAAAGGTTGTGGTGGAAGTAGAATGGTGGTTGCCAGGGGCTGTGTTGAGGGCAGAGGGGTAGTTACTATTTGATAGAAACAGTTTCAGTTTGGAAAGATGTTTCATCTGGAGATGGATAGTGATAATGGTTGCACAACAATGTGAATGTAATTAATGCCACTGAACTCTACATTTAAAAATGGTTTAACTGATAAATTTTATGTTATATATGTTTTACCACAATTCTCATAAGGCTGTGATAGTACTTAGGGAAAAATTTTTCTTGTGAAAAAATACACATACTAGATAAGCTTCGTTCAGGCATCTGTTATAGCGCTGTTGGCTGTGAGTTCAATGTTAACGAATGAACAATATATATTAAATAATATGTCTTTAAAACACACATAAAACAAGGTTATGTATTGATTAGTTGATGAAAAAGTTATGATCAGAGGCTCACCTAGCCCTATATTTCCCCTAGGAACAATGAATAATTCAGTGTTGGCAATCACTTTATAGAACATGAATAACAAGAATTGACTGTATCTAATCAAATTCTCTAGAAGACAGTATTGAATGGGTTAAGAAGTACTCAAGAAATTTCAAGAATTTAATTCTTTCTCCAGTGGCAGTGATTCAGAGCAGAAGGGTTCACCAGCTGTAGGAACCTTCAATGTGTTCTGACTGCTAGGGGCCCAGTTTTGGCTGATATACAAAGGAGAGAAGATGCTGTGTCACTAGGATGAATGAGTAGAGAATTCCTTCTATTTGTTGACTGAGAGAGTTTGGTTTCTCACCTTGTTGGCCTTGTCTTAGGTTAGTGATCTTTGAAAACAGTTTCTCACAGGAGTCAGAATTTAGGTGGTCAATGCAGCACCTCACAAGACTTGTATTCTTCTTTGTACTTGGTGGGCTGTTGTGGGCCTTCCATTTTCTGTAGCCATCAGTGCAGTGGCAAGCAGACTTTTCTCATCTCTGTTACAAATACTCATGAGTTGTCTCAAAACAACTTTGAGGGTAAAAAGTATATTTTTAAAAAAATTGTTTATGGTTTTACTTTTTCTGGAGTCCAGAAACTACTACTGAGTGCACTAATCTAAAGACTTGCCAGAAGTTTAATGATATGACCAAAGAAAGGAGGAGGAGATTAGTAATTTGAATATGAATGGATCATGCAAAATTCAACTGCTTTGGGGGAAAAAACAGAAAGTTATATTTTCTGATCATTCTTCCATTTTCCTATAATAACATCCCTTTGGCATTAATTCATGTTGATTATTCTTAAAGCCAGAAAAAAACTATGTAGTGCTCAAGTCACACAACATCATGAGAAGGTAATCATCCCACATTGATGATAACTGATCACCCAGGCTTTCAATATATTATAAGACAAAAATTAAAAACAACAAAAATATTCTTGAGCTAGGGAGCAATAATATAGGAATAGAAGACAGGAGACTTAGAATATAGTTCTGGCTTTGCAGCTGACATTTTATGTATCCTTGAATAAGTCAATTAGTGAAGCCTTCATTTATAAATGTATGTATGTATGTATGAATTCATTTATTAGTTTATGAAATATTTGAATGCTTATTGTGTACCTGGCACTATACTACATTCTGAGGATAAAACAATGAGCCAGACACAATCACTGTCTTCATGAAACCTATGGTCTAGTTTCTTCATATAAAATATGAGGAAATTTGATTAGATATGCCCTTTTAGTTAAGGTTTACCCCCTAAATCAGTAATTTTCAAACTTTTTGGTGTCAGGATTCCTTTACTCTCTTAAAATTTATTTAGGATCCTCAAAATTATTTGCTTTTATGGATCATATCTATCAATATGTAACATATTATAAATTAGAACTGAAAAGTTTTAGTACAGAGGCATATACAGACATACAGAATTTGCTGACAGATGATTATGACTTCACACATAGTAAAGTCTCTAGAAAACTCCATTGTACACATAGGAAAGAAAGAAAGTGAGACAAAAAAGAAATCTTAGTTGTTATTATGAAAATAGTTTTTATTTCACAGACTTTCAGGAAGGGTCTTGGGAACCACCCAACGGATTCCCAGACCACACTTTGAAAACCATGGCCCCAAAGTAGTAATTGTTATCCTACTTCAATTGAATATTTCCCCCTCTAACTTTCAGTCCCTTCTTCCCAATACTTGTGCTTTGGCTTTTAATGAGACATTAAATATGGTAATTTTTAAAACATTGTATATTTATTCATTAGTACATAATTATTGCCAAGAGCAGAAATAAAATATTATTCTATGATAATCATGAGCTACAAATTTATAGGCAATCTAGAGGACATTTGCAGAACATTTGCAGCTCTAGGATATAGACTGAAATCAGTGGTATTGAGGGATTTCTTGCAGATGGTCTTCATGTCAGTGTTGAGGTGAGAACATTCATACCATGGCAATGCCTCATAATAATGTCTAATTAATAAAGTTCGTGTATCACATTGTCCTTTAGAGGTAGAATTAATCCAAGAAAACTTCAAAATATAATTTCTCCCATCCCTTTTTCTCAAAATGGGAGCTCTAGTCTATTTATCATAGGTTTGAAATACAGAAAATGGAAATAAAGTTATAATTTGGCTTCCTCATTTTTCTATTGGAAAAAGATAGCAGACTCAAATACAGTATTAAATTGTATAGATTGTGCCCTCGTCTTTTAATACAATTCTCACATGCTTGTGTTTTAATTCTTTCCTTACTTGTCCTCCCATCTCTAACCCTCCATCCCCCAACAGACTGAGCTCTTTGAGGACAGGGAATTATTTTGTTCTTTTTTATCTCTTCAGCTCTTGGTCCAGTACCTGGCACATAATTAGATGGCAACAGGGTGTTTATTGAACAATCAAACCAATAAATGAATAAATATCTCCTTAAATACCAGAAATGCCAACTTTCTAATTTTTCAGTAGGTTAAATTTGTATATTTATAGACTTCCCTAGTGACTCTGGTTGTGTTTTTAGTTTAATTTGACTGTGGTTCATAGCATTTCTATTGAGTTCCCTCTTCCTCAACCTGGCAGAGGAGATTGGTGTTGCAGGTCCCTGTGCTCTGACCACTCCAGTAGTTCTCTGGTAGAGCACTGAGCACTTTGAGCATCCCAGTGCAGCTTTCACATTTAATGATCTCTGGCTACCTAGATCTCTGGCTACTCACACCTCATGGCTCTTAACGGAAACCACGGGACCATGCTAAGGAGTTGCCATGCTGGCTATGACACAACTACTTAAGGTGACAGAACCCTTACCTAACACAAGTTCATATTTAGGTCAAACTAAGTTTAATGAGCATCAAAGGTAGCCAGGGAGTAGAAAACAAATCTCAAAAGACCAGTGAGAGAGAGAGAGAGAGAGAGAGAGTGTTTAAGCAAGGCAAGGACAGAAAAATGTGCTTTGCCTTCATCTGGTGGGGAGAACTGTGAACGTATTATAAGTGTTGCAGTTTTCTCCTCTTTCTCCTTTTTTTATAAAGTATTAAGGTTCTCAGTCTTCTTTCTCTCCTTGCTTTTCCCTCATACCAGCAGGAAGAAGCTTTCCCCCAAAACTGGGGTAGAGTTTATCACCTCTGTTTAACCCAAGAAGGCATAATTCTTTGAGTAGCCCATGGAAATGAGCCAGAAGTCAATCTATTTCCTAGAATACTCTCTCTCAAGATAAGTAAGTTTCTTAGCTCCCCAGGAGCCTCTGTGAGTTCCTCAAGTAATTTCATAAAATTTATATCTTTATGTATGTTCTGTCTCATCTAGATAACCACCATCTGAGTACTACTTCAGCGTCTTCAGTTCTGCAGTGTCTGCAAATTTGTGTTTACTGTTGAGTTTTTGATTATAATCAAGTTGGCATCAAGTGCCATCTAAAGTCTTAGAGTTGACTTTTATACAGTATTCATGGGAGTTTTCTTTTTCTCCCTCTTCTCAGGGGGGTTCCTTTTTCCTTTAAAAGAAATCTTTACATTATTCAAACTTGAGATCCTAGCTCAAATAATTTTCTTTTTCTATCAATAGCAAATAAGGAGAGTCACTTAAGTCCTTTGCCCTAAGGCCATGATTTGTGTTTGGAAAAAGTCTGATCCACTAATTTAGCCCTTTTTACTGAACTTAAGTTTTCTTTCTTTTTATGTTGAATGTATATGCAGTGAGATAACATGTAAAAATATTTGTCTCAGATTGCCTGATATACGTTATACCAGTCTTTACGTGTGCTCTTCTGCCTGAAGCTGTAAACTTTCTTTCCTAAATCCAATGAAGTTAAACTTTAAAATTTACAAATGAGAAACCGAGCATAATAGCAAATTTATTTTCTTTATTTGTGGTGACCAATTTTCTTCATGATGTTTTGATTTACTTTAGAGCAAGCACATCTTTTCCAGAGCAGATGACAATATAGATGGACAAAGACATTGCTTTAGTTTTAACATTTTTGCCTTTGCTATTATTAAGAATTAAATTTTCCAATAGTCAACCACTCCCCAAGAGAAAATCTTGTAATTTTCAGGGTTTTGTTTTTAGGGAACTTTGGGACCCACAGAGACTCAATATAGAATATGTTTCTACAAATCAAAAAAAAAATTTTTTTTTTATTTAGATTTAGATTTTAAAAGTTAAAGTCTACAAACTATTTTTTAAAATTTTAACTCTCTTTTTACTCAGATAGTAGCTTGGAAGTAGTAATAGCCTTAGAAGAATTCAGTTCTTTCCAAGAGCGTTCAGGAAATGTTTTCTTATTTCCTTGGAATTGCCTAAAGCATTGTTTTTCATAATTCACAGAGGATTGGCTTTCAAAGAGGCATTCTATTACCAAATTCCTTTGTAAATTCCTAGAAAGATTCCTTTAAAAATATATTCATTTGTTCATTTATTCATTTATTTGTTCATTAAACACCTATTGAACACCTGGCTTATGATAGGTACTATGCCAAGAATTGGAAACAGAAAAAAATGGTGCTTTTTTGCCTAAGGAAAACAAATTGAACTTTAGGACTATAAGGATTTTAAGATTATTATATCCAATCTACTCATAAACAGATGCAGAAATTGAGGCCCCAAAAGAGGTTAAATGCCTTAAATTAGAATTAAATAAAGAAAACTTTATTCGCATTGAGATACTTTTGAAACACCAAGTACTTCTTTATGTTAAGAATTTTTTTTAATGTTCTAAAATTAACAAATAAGGTCAGTGCTCAATTTCCTGGGTCAATGCCACAGTGGTGCCCTTTGTTCTTGGACCCAGTCCCTGGTTCTGGCTTGGCAACTGAAAGACCCAATGACCTGCTTTTGGCAATTAGTATAGGAGTTTTAGTGTCTACTGACTAAATGTACTTTGGATGCCCATTTGCTCAGACATTGGGGTCCAATCTTTTGTTATAGAACATCGTTGTTTAGCTCATTTTTTAATATTTTATATTATATATCTATATTCTTGAAATTTAAAATTAATAAGTCAGTAGTTTCTAATAACTTTAACCATAAAGCATTCTATCTTTGGCTTTCTAATTAGTTTAAAAATAGATAAAACTTTGAATTATAGTAAAAAATTGTTTCATTTATTTAGATTTAACATGAACATTCTGGCCCCTGCTGGGAACTCTAAGAACTACATCACTTCTGCTATCAGTTTTTCTAAGGTCAGAAGGACTTCAGTTTAAACCTTGAATTCAGTTTTATATATATTTTTTCTTTTTCTGTAACATGCAGAATTTTACTGAATAAAATCTACAAGTAAGGTATTACTATGATTAATACTCAAAATCTGTGTTAAATGTTGGATATTTTTACATGACACAATGAATTTAAATCCTTCAGTAATACAATAAAATTTTCTGCCTTAATTTTAAATATATAGAAATCTAATATTTTTTATCCCTATTCAAATTCAGAGGAAAATCTGATGGGAGGAACAGGTGAAATTCAAACATTTGATAAAGTATGGTGTGGCAAAGACTCCTTACTTAGAATTTCATTTCATCAAATCCTTATGAACATCCACTGTTTGATTATGAGTAATCATAATCAAATTGCATTGAATATGCAGTCATGTGCCATATAATGACATTGATGGACCACATATATGACAGTAGTCCCATAAGATTATAATGGAGCTGAAAAATTGCTGTTCCCTAGTGATGTCTTGATGATCCTGACCTTGTGGAGGCCTAAGCTAATGTGTGTATTTATGTCTTAGTTTTTAACAAAAAAATCTAAAAAGTAAAGAAAAAAATGAAAAGATTTAAAAATAGAAAAAAGTTTGTAGAATAAGGATATAAAGAAAGAAAATATTTTTGTACAGCTGTATGATGTATGTTTTAAGCCAAGAGTTATGAAAGAGTCCAAAAATTTTTAAAAATTAAAAAATTTATATAATAAAAATGTGATAATAAGCTAAGGTTAATTTATTATTGAAGAAAGAAAAAATTTTTAAATTAACTTGTTGTAGCCTGAGTATATGGTATTTATAAAGTCTATAAGTATTGTACTATAATGTTCTAGGCCTTCAAATTCACTCACCACTCACTCACTGACTCACCTAGAGCAACTTGCAGTCTTGCAAGCTCTATTCATGGTAAGTGCCCTATATAGGTATAATAATTTTTATTTTTTATATAATACTTTTTCTGTACCTTTTCTATGTTACATGTTCAGATACAAAAATACTAAAATTTTGTTACAATTACCTACAGTATTCAGTATGGAGCATGCTAGAATCTAGGAGTAAATAGGCTGTACCATATAGCCTAGGTGTGTAGTAGGCTATACCCTCTAGGTTTGTGTAAGTACTATGTTGCACAACAATTAAATTGCCTGAAGCCCATTTCTCAGAACTTATATATTCATTGTTAAGCAACCCATGACTGTATTTATATCAAACATTGCCATATCCCCAAACCCCAGTGGTGGGAAGGTAACAATTAAAAACAGCACTTCACCAAGTACAAGATTATGGAATGGAATATGGATTGTAGGACAAACCAACTGTTTCTTGAGTGTGGTTGGAATGATTTATATGTATGGGAGACTTAGGAGCAGGGAGTGAAGAGCAGATGGGAGACTGGGAACAGGATTATAAAATCTTTCCATTCAAAAACCCGTGAATAAATAAAGACTTTTACCCTGGAAGTCTCTTATGAGCTCTCTGACTAGGGAAATTATTAATATTAACCTTTATTTCCTCATCTGCAAAATGGAAACAGTCAAGTTGTGAGAACTAAATGAGATAATAATGTGAGTGCCAAGAGCACTACCTGGTACTGAGTAAGTACCTCATAAATATTAAATATTAAAATACTAATAACAATGATATAAATAGTACCTAACAATATTTATATCATTAATATTCATTTGTGTTATAAATCTTTGTAAATTGAAAATTTATAAATTAGACTTGTAAAGTAAGGGAGAGGCATATGATTTACATAAGAAGGAGATACAGAACAAAATGACTAGAAAACTAGAAAAAAAGTAGGAAAAGTTATAATAGGAAAATTCTAGCAAAAAGAAAACTGAGGTCATGATTAGTTGCAGGCAGGATTAATTTTAAGGCAGAAAGTATAAAACAAATCAAAGAAGGAAATTTTATCGATGGTACAGGAAACAATCTACAGAGAGGATATACGTTTCATACATCTTAAAGCACTGAATGATATAATAAAAATAAATTTTTAAAAAACTGCAGAATTAAAGGAGAAATGATAGGAAACAAAATAGTAATAGCAGACTTTCATTCACTTTGTGGCTCAAGTAGGCAAAAGTTAGTAAGGATATAAAGTGTTTAAACAATGAAGTTAATGAGATTGATGAAAAAGATTTATATTGAACTCTATATCCTGATACCTGAACATCAGTCTTATTTTTAAAAGCCCATGAAACATTTACCAAACCGACTCTCTAATGGCCAACAAAAAATCTTTTAGTAAACTCCAAAAATTAGAAATAATCCAAACCACATTCTCTGATCACAGTGTAATTAAATAAAAATGAATAGCCAAAATAAAAATCAATATCTCTTCTACTATTTGGAAATATAAAAATTATTTTGAACAATCTTTGGTACAAAAGAACAAAACCGACATTGCAGAATGTGTACAAAATAACAGTTAAAACATTGCATACCAAAACCTGTAGAAGACAACTACCGCTGTGTTTAGCAGGTATTCATAGCTTCAAATATGTATTACTAAAGAAGAAAGTATGAAAATAACATTATTAGAAAATGAACTATAAAATATACTGTAAATTAAACCTTATAAAGCAGAACAAAAGTAAAAAGATAAAATTATAAATTGAGTCAGAAACAGCAAATTAATAGAATTGGTAATATAAAACTATGACATGTTTTCTTATAGTAAGAAAAAATAAATAAAATACAAGTTTAACGTAGCTTAACC